CTTTAATTTCGTTCACCTTGTAAATCAGTCAAATTAATTGTTTAAAACGAATATACAATTAAATCAAATACATTTGTCGAGAAACATTATGACTATCGGGAATTTTACATGTTTTCCGAGCTTTATTATATTTATATAAGTATGGCGAGAATTGTTCAAATATTAAATGGTCGTTTATTCGCGAAACATTCACCGAATTGTTTGACATAAAATGAGATAACTTTTAAACAAATTATCAATCTTTATTAACCTTCTCTGTAAATACATCTATAACATTTAGTCTTTTGTTTTTTTACGTCAAACACAGAAATATCTTTTTAAAAAATGTATGTATTAATATAAATTTAAGTATAGATTTATTTCTGTATCGATTCGACTTTAATTAATTATTCTTAATTATACGGTATAAAAAGTATCCGCGAAAAAGAATCAGACGATATGAAGTTAAAAATAATATCTTGGCTATTTTATTGTTTATCAAGATTCAATTACAACACATTTACAATACTAAAAATAAAACACGGATAGAAAAAAGTAATTTAAAAATTTAATGATAATTGAAGAATTTAATCGATTCTTCTTACGACTGTTACAACATTATTTGGAAGTCGGAAATGGAAGTCATGAAATCGCGAGAGGTTACAGTCCCTTGATGCCGATAAAATAAATGCACAACATCAAACAACAGACTCTCCAAGTATTTCTTTTAACTATTATTTTCTATGCTTTGAGTTATTCCTACAAAAGGGTATAAACTAAAGAAAAACGTAGAAAAAGATTTTAATACACTATGACAATGGGAATGTATTGATAATTGAAAAAAAATGCTTAATAATGGAAAAAAAACATTTGAGGTGTTACAAATTCCTTTATAAATAAATCCCGGTTAAAAAAACTACTAAGCATAATTGAAATACAATTAAGAATATCATTTGAACATGAAGTAACAATTTTGTGAACGAAGTAGGAAGAAGAGTAAGAAGAGCAAGAGGTTGTGGAAGACCCCGTTATCCCTCACCTATACTAGGATCTTCTCCTCGAACTCCCTAGTCGGTGACAGTTATAGGACGTCTCGTTTGTAACTGTCGGCACGACAGGATCGAGCTCGAATCCCCGAGATGCATTCTGTGAGAACTAAAGGAAGGAAGAGAGAGAGAGAGAGAGAGAGAGAGAGAGAGAAAAGAAGGTAACATCTGACGAAAAAGAGAAGGAGATGGAGATTCAAGACGACACCAAGTCGGGATACATCGGAAAATATTGGATTCGACGTGTCTCGAGCAGAACGGAAAAAGATAGAGAAAAAATGATGAATAAAAAGAAAGAGAAATATAGGAAGAAAAAAAAAGATAGAAAAAGAGAATAAATAATAGAAATCATACAAACCGATAAATTATTACTATTTTTAAAGATAGTTGAAGAATTCGTTCGGATGATTAAATTTCGATGTTTTTGAATTACGTGGGGCTGGTGATTGAATATAATTATGAGGAGGAGGAAGAGGACTGAGGAGGACTGAGGAAGAGCCTTTTTATTTTCGCCTAGCGTGAAGTTAGAAAAATATCGCAAAAGGTATGAAATATACTAACGTAGTTCTTCTAGGAGAAAATTAAGGAATGGTCTGCCCATTAAAATAAGGGTGGCGCACTATGAGAAGCAGTCAGTCGTCTCGAGTGAATGAGAGGTCGCGAGGAAAAGATTGCGCATGAGTGGAAGTCGAATGAAAAGTCGGAGAGTGGCTCGAAAGACGGAAGGAGGGTGTAGAGTGAGATGAGGTGAGGTGAGGTGAGGTAAGGTGAGTCGAGGGTGTGCTCGGGTGGTTCGAAGAAGAAGTCGGTCTTCAGGAAGGAAACTGAGGCGAATCGGTTCGTTAAACCTTCCACCGAGAAAGAAAAGTCAACGAGCTCGATACGATTCTGAAGATCCTCTCGCGGTTTCTCGCCCGCGTGTGCCTTGATATCTTTTCCTTTCTATTCTTTAGCACGTACAAGAAAAGCTTTTCATATTTTTCTTCTTTTATCTTCCTTTTTTTTCCTTTTTTACGTTCGAAAGGGAATTCCCAGTTCTATCAAAAATTAGTACGCGACGAAAAGGGAAAAAAAAAGAGAAGAGTAGAAAAGAAAACGAACTATCTTTTTTCAAGAAGAGTATAAATTCAACAAACCATAGCTAAGAATAGATAGTCTATAAGTTAAGTATAGGATAAGTTGAGTTAGTTTATTAATAGAAATAATTGATGAATAATTCTTATAGCCCTTGAAGAAAGAATCGATGAGAATCTTTATTTATGGAAAATACAGATGCATATGGTATTAATAATAATTATTACTTTTAATCTGATTTTCAAAAATATCGATATTTTCTTTTGTTATATGTAGAAAGGATTTGTTTCTCTTTTCTCATTAAAGCGATACATGTAGCTGTTGCATTGACCGACAGGTCATATGAACATTTCACCACGATTTAGCGAATCTCATCGAATCATAAACACTCGTGGCGGTACAGAGAGCAAATAATTCGATTATTTGTCACATTAGTATTCATGTAACGCTGACTGCGAGTGGTGCGAATCTCAATAAAATCCCTAATAACATATAACGGACGTCGATAATCGTCGAGTTTCGAGGATACATTCATTATCGCGTCGAACCACCGGCACTGCTGACCGTCATATTTCCGGTCGTATTTCGCGTATATTTCTCCGATTATATTTTCTCTTGTTATTAACTAGTTCGAATTTCGTCGTGTATCGATCATAAATTACAAACAATACTGACCATTCAGAAATAACTTTTTTTTTTTTGAAAGAAAATATCAGATAAAGAAAAATCAACGTTTGCGTTATGTCCTTATATGTAATTTTGAAAATTAATGGAATAAATGAGTAAAATGAGTTCAATTTAGGATCATACTAATCGTCTTATCAATAAATCTATTTTATAGAAAATTTAAGTGAAAAGAAAGAAGGAAGATAATAATTAAAAAAAATATAACTGTTAAGATATAAAATGGTTTAATCGACGGATGGGACAAGAGGAAAGTTGAGAAGAATACCTTGGTGGCAATGTGCAAGGTAGTTTCTACGCAACAAGGAACATGGTCAGAAGAAGAACAGGCGCGCTGAATGAAGGAACGTGTCCTAACTTCGATGCTGGTTTTCGACCCTCTTGAGGACTTTCTGGCCATCCCTACCCAACCTATCGTCCTTCTACCCTTTCTCAAGTCACCCCTTTAACTTTCGAAACTCTGTGCGCGAAATTCAGCTATTACAAAGCGACAACCGTCGCTCTCTTACTCTTTCTCTCTCTCTCTCTCTCTCTCTCTCTCGCTCTCTCTCTCTCTCTCTCCCTCTTTCACTCTCAACTATCCCTTCTGTTCCCTTTTAATACGTCGACCGTTGCAGGTGCATCTTCCAAGGATGATCATCCTTTCTTCGTCTTCAAGAGTCATGAGTAGTTTTCACCAGTTGCTGCTATGTAACACGCTACCGAGTTTTAACGACTCGAAAGACGACGTATTTGGAAAGTTTCCTTGGACGAGTGGTTCACCTACTCGTGATTGAATTTTCGAATATACTTTATTGTGTATTATACAGAAAGTCGGTAAATTTAACAGAGATGAAAACTCACGAATGGCCTTCAATTGCTTTCCTAGCAAAATTCAACTCGTTGACCTATTAACCCTATATTTGAACATCCGATCGATTTTCAATCGCTTTATACCATCAATTCTGTTATTACAATATAGTTTAACAATGTAAAAGATATTTGTGAATTTGAAGTTGTTTTGCTATAAAGTTCAAGTACTCTTACAAGATCTACCAGATGTTTAATCGTAAGAAAAAGTTTACGATTCTTACCTCTTAAATTATATTTTAAAAGAATAAACATAAACGATAGTCCTAGAGAATTGGTATTATCAAATACTTTGTCTCTTAAGACGCGAACAAATGCTTCGATTCTTTCTAGAACAATTGGCTAAAAGATATAAAGACAATAATATAAAAATGTCAAAAGATATCGAGTGGAAAGGATACTAAATTTATAAACGATATCTACGATTATAACGTATAAATGTCGCTTGCAATAATCGTGCCTTCTTTTATTTAAAAAGAGATCGTGGTAAGTCACAGATTGACTCATCCTGTATTTCGTACTGAACGTATGGCGAGTCAAGCTGTAGGATTTACAGAGGAAACGTATTTCGGGCAAACGAATCTGTCTTTTTCAAATCACAGAAAACGAAAGGATAAATGTGAGGTAGTGAGTAGGTATGTCTGTGTGCGTGTAAGAGAGAGAGAGAGAGAGAGAGAGAGAGAGAGAGTAAGATTGGTGGGAACTCAAAATGTCTTGCATGACGACGTTAACCGATTCTCGTGGTGACGACAGAACTTTCATACGCTTTTCAAAAAAGAAGCATGGAAGAAGGATGTGCAGAAAATCAATATTCGTATAAGTCGAAGAAAATTCAAATACTGTCAAATTCGATTACAGTTAGCTTACTCTCCTTTCTCTATCTTTTTCTCGCGTCTTCGACAACACTTCGTCTCTCAATCGAGAAAAATATATCTCAATGCTTTTGGATCTTGTAAAAAGGAAATACGGGAAGCAAAATTGTATCTAACACATTTCCATTTTTATTTGTGAAAAAAAATAGCTCTTTCCTACTGTACGTGTATACATATCCATAATATTTTCTCCGAGCTAATTAGCGTAGGTTTTTACAAGCATATAAAATCAAATAAAACAGACGAGTAAAATGTACTATAAAAAGTTTGTAAACATGTATCGTACATAAGGATACACGTGTAAAAACTAACTCAAGTGTATTTGAATTTCGAAGTGTACGAAAAATTAAAGTAATATGGTTCAATATTTGTTAGTTGTAAAATGTGTAGTTAAGTCAAAGTAAACGTGATAAAAACGTAGAAAGTTGGTTGATCTATTTATATTGTCGATCATGAAGAACGATGAGAAAGATAAATGAAAAAAATATGGACTCACCTAATTTCTCATCCAAGCTTCCGGAGACGTAGAAGAAAGCTTCGGTTAGTCCAAGGAACAGCACTATACTCCACATGTTCTCTCTGTATTCCTCGTAATCCTCGTCGCGAAAATCAAACGCGTTTAAGCTTTTCCCGGATAGAAAAAGCACAAGGAGGAACCTCGTAAATCCAACTAAAGAGACATCCACTTAAACGACTTCAATGTCAGCTTTCGTCGTTTCGATTCCTCGTTTTTCCGTAAAATGGCAACGGCATGGCGCACCACGTCGTCCTGAAGACAAACAGTTTCTACCGATCTTTCTTTGCTCGCGCAAAGATCTACCGATCTCGCTAAGATCATTACTTCCTGAAATCTAGAGTACTGGTAGGAGGGAAAGAAGAGAATGAAAAGTTTTCAATGACGTCACCGTCTTCGTTTGCGCATCGCAAGCAACTTCTTTCTTACTTTGTCGAAAAGAATTTCCAATGAATTCGAAGCAAGCGAATTCGAGTTACTCTAAACTGCCAGCTTTTTTTCGGTTCACTAAACTGCGACGCGATTATGTCAAGAGTTTTATCTCTAAAAAAAGTGTATCGTCAATATCTTCTTCCTTCTTTTTTTTTTAATCTTTTTCCTTTTGCTTTCTTCTTTATTCTTTTTTCTTTAGCTTTTTGTATTTGACTTTTTTTTGGTTAATTTACCAACGTATTAACGGGCACGATGCGGCAGCTGTGGCTGTCGCTGATGATCCTTTCGTTCCTCCCATACACATTCGCGCGTACCTCCGTTTTTTGTCTCTAATTAAATACTAATTAAAGCTCCCACACCCTTGACCTTAAGCATACGCTAGTGCTCGCGCACGTTTTCTCTCTTTCCCTTTTCTCCTTTCACACTTTATATCCAATTTTTAAGCGATCTAAAACGTCAATATTTTTTTATCTCCTAGATTTCTTCTTTCCTTCCTATTTTCTTTTCTTTCGTTTTCCTCTTTTTTCCTTGATCACTTTTTTTCTACTTTTATGATCTCTTCTCTGTCGAATAAATAATGTCTTTTAACTACTTGATAGCTGTCGACGATCTTAAAGTATTCCTCTCCTTAAAAATTCGATTACGCATCGCAGAGAAATCAACGAGATCCATTTTGAATTCACTCGAAGTATCATCATCGTCGTCGTCGTCATCATCACCATCAACGAGTTTCTTACGTATCCTCTCGACAATTTCGTCACTTTCTCATATTATTCGATTGAGGAAGGAATTCAGTTAAACGAAAGTTTCAAATATATCGTCACGTTTATATGAAATTCTCGTCTTACTTGTGATCAATTTTATGCTATTCCAGCTTGATGAGTCATATTAATATCTGATAGAATATATACACGTGTGTATCAATGTATAGACGAAGGAGTAAGATGGAAAAGAAGATAGATAGATAAAGAGAAAGAGAGAGAGAGAGAGAGAGAGAGAGAGAAAGAGAGGGTGACCGGTCGATACGATCTTCGCTTTTAGGCCCGACACCGTGAGGAATACAGAATACGACGATATAAAATATCTTCATCGATTCGGGTCATCCCGGCCCATGCACAGAGCTTATCGTTGTCCCGAATAAAAGTGCTCGAGTACGATAGGAAGAGAGAGAAAGAGAAAGAGAGAGGAAGGAGGGAAAAAGAGACGAACAGTAAAGCGACAATGACGGCACACACGCACGTACGTATAGATAATACATTCACAAGACACGACACACAAGGGATAGAAGAGAATTGTCGTGGGGACAGGAAAAGGTCTTCGGCGACTATTTTTGGTTCGTATACAGACACTCGAGAAACAAGCGATAGGCCAGAGAGAGTGTCTGGGTGAGTTACTGGTGAACGCACGAGGAAGGAGTCAAGGAAGGGGTTGAAGAGCCTCGTGAGCGACACTCGCGCTTGATAGCCGCGAAATTCGAGCCTCCTTTGGTATCCAAAGAAATAGTAGTAGGAGATACGTCCCTCGTACTTTGGTATCTCTGATGTGTCCTCATCGATCGATTTTCCTCAAACCCTTTTTACCCCTTTTTATATTACCACCTCCGGTATAATCGAGCTTCTACAAGCTCCGACGAGCCCCTTTGCTAATCCAAATACCGATAATCCATTCTTGAGTCTCAATATTCTTACAACATTTCAGCGATATCTTCTTCCATTGTTAATATCATCTTTCAAATCCAAATCCGTTGAATAAGTCAACATTTTCTTTTTTTCTATTATATATCTTTTATCTTTTCCCTCCTACCCCAAGCACAACGTATCTCTTCTATATTTTTTTTTATCTTTTAATCGATCAAAAATTCAAAAGAAAAGAAAGATAGAAGGGGTTGCGTTAACTTTGGCGAGATAACACGTGCGAAGTTGTTGAAAGATCGATCATTATGGATTATACGAGAAGATGTCGATTGAAGCGTCGATTTAATATCAATTTTTCTTTTTTCTTGTCGTTCTTCGTTAAAACTTGATTATTTACACTATACTTTGACCAGGAATTATTTTAATATGGAATGATATGGAAACAAAAGAGAAACGCAACTCACAAAAACACGAGATCCTCGACCGACGGCGGACGGTACACTGACGGAAAAGACGAACAAACGGCGCGTCGACGGACGCGCAGCCTGCGAAGCTTCCACAAGAGGTAGCAATGCTGCTAGTGGTGGTGCTGCTAGTGGTGGTGAAGCTGGTAGTGGTGGTGGTGGTGGTGGCAGCAGTAGTGGTGGTGGAGGTGGTGGAGATAGTGGTAGGTAGAAAAGGTTGGGGTGGAGGCGGAGGAGGAAGAGGTGGTTTGCAGAGAACAGTCGGCTCGAAAGGAAAGGAAAGGGGTTGTTTCGTCGTACAAGAGCACCAACTACCCCTGCCTATCCGCTACCTATCTGCTTATGCTACTACTAGCCAGTTGTATAAGCTTCTCTTCTTGATTACCGTCCTACAAAAATGGACCACTTTTCTATACCATCCTTTTGGTTAACTTCAGCAAGTAGACAGAGGTTAATTAACTTCGATTATTATTGTTTGACATTTAAACAAAATTACTACTCTACTTTTCATTGAAAATATATTATTTTTCAAATTAATGTTAAAGCCATATTTGCAAATGTCTAAATACAATATTTTTATTTAAACATTGAATGCTCGATAAACTTATTTCGTAAGTTCGTACTAACTAATTAACACGGTCGCTGGCAACTTAGATCGGAAACTGCAATTAACGTAGAAAGGGGATGAAACGGTGAATGAACGGACTGCGATGGAACGTATCTAGGAGGACAGGTACGAGCAACACGGCAGTCGTTCTTTATGCTCAACGAGCTCTTTAGAAGTAAAGTTTAATGCTATTCCACTTTTAGGTAGGTACCATCTGCCTGCCCCGTTATAGATAGAAAGGAAAAAAAACGGATGAGCAAAAAGAGTAGAGAAAGGAAAATGAAATAGCAGGTAGGAATAAAAGGAGCCGAATTAATCGATCGGCCGATTATACTATCGGTGCATTAACCAATTCTCGAGAAAAAAGGTATTTTAAAGTCGAAAATAAATAAAGATAAAGTAATCCAAAGTGAAGGCATGCAAAACTCACGCAAATCATTCTACGCGATTCTTATTCTATCCGTTAATTTTACTTTTATTTGTTTTTAATCTATCAATGAATATCCAACAATTTCATTTAAATTAACAATCTTATTATAATTTTTGTTAACTAAAATTTACTCTTCGAAATCATTTCCTTTTTTTTTTTTTTAAATAAAAGATCCTTTGTCTTAAAAATAATGATCACGTGTTTCGATATGATAAAATGAATTAATTAATCATTTTGTTTCACATTACATACAGTGATGAGAGAAAAAGAATCTTTTCATTTAATCTTCAACAAATTGTGCTAAAAAGAAAATATAAAAATAAATTTAGAAATGCTAAATAATTTGGAAACATATTTTAAACATTTCAGACTATTTTAGTTCGTTAGCCAACCATTATCGAGCATCGCAAATTCTCTGAAATGTATTCGAACTGACAGGATAGGTGCATACCGGTCGGTCTAGTAGAAGGTAGATACTCTGGAGGAGGAGAAAGGAGGAAAAGAATCGAAATAGGGTGAGAAACCTCCAGGCAAAAGGTAGAAGAGCAAGTGAATGCTTTCTGACTGGTGTCACGGATCATGGTCATCTTGAAAGCTTCTAAAAGGAATATCTCGGTCGCTTTCTGAAAGCTATCTTTTCGCAAAGGGAATGACTCACTTCGGTGTGTGCGTCGAGTAGGTACGTTACTTGTATCTAGTACAAGAGATATATTACCTACTAACGTTGAGTATTCTCACTCACTTTTCTCCTTTCATGCCATTGCAACACACCAATAGTTGAGAATAGTAAAAAAAAATCTACGCTTAAATTTTATTCTTTTATCTTTAATTCAATGGTTAAGATCAAAAATTTTTTTAAATAGTCATAAATCGTTTTGTTAAGTTTATAAATTCATTGATAATAAATGATAATAAGCAAACAAAAAATTTGGTAAATAAAAATAATTTAATCGAAAGATTTATTTTCTTATCGTAATGCTAAACGTTATCCCTTTTCGCAATGCCGTAACTTCTAAAGGACTCTCAAAAGGACAGCCGATAAATGCTAGATACTGGTTGATCCGCGTGTGTGACTTCGATCACAGAGAGCCGTTTAGTCGGGTTAAATCGAATTACGCTTCTATACTGGGATCAGTTTGTGCTAATACAATGTGTACAGCTATGCTAACACACAAATTTGCAAACAATTGTAGTGTCTATGCTTAAATATCAAATGTATAAATAAAAGATACGTATAGATTTCTATCGATGCATTAAGAAAATTGGAATATACCAAAAGCTGACAAGACAATAGTAACAAATTAAATGAATCAAACGAAAGTCAGTGATTTTATGTTAAAACGTATAAGTGCATTAAAGAATAAGAAATATCTGTATTTATGTGTGTAGATCATACTCTAGTGAAGTTATATTTAATTAGATGAGATAAAAGAATTTTATTGATTATTATTGATCAAATATCCCTGAAAAAGTATATATATGTATGTATGTGTGTGTGTACATATAATAAACGTATCAGTTTCGTAATTATGTTACTTTGATAATTTGCCTATTTAAGTATAAAGTAAAATAAAATAATAGGTACTTAGGAAAAAAGATCAAGTTTAAAAGTGGTAGGTAGTCGAGCATGTTGCTCAAAGAATTATTATAGTCATTGTAAAGGCTAGGAGTCGAGTGCCGTTTTGCATTCGATCACATCTTATCGATCGGTAACATGCTACTACTTTCGAGTTATAGCCAGAGATCGTGGTACGACGACTAAAAGTCACAGTGCTTTTAATCTTTCGAGCTGACCGATCGAGATGCGAGATAGTAGTCGGCACGACGAATGATCGCTCCTTCACGCGACACCGTTTATCGGATTTTTACGAGGAAACGTTAGTTACGTTAACATTTCGTGTAAGAAATAGAAATCGTCTCGCATGTCGTCTTTCGATTGAAAAGCTCTCGCGATACAATTGTTACGCTTACGTTTTATTACTACTCACTCTATAATAGAATTTTTCGAAAAACGCGTTAAGAATTTTTACTATTGTCGATTTTTCATTAAATTTTTTTACTAAATCTCAACTTTATTTTCAAATTAGGTTATACTTAATAAATAGAACAAATATAGAAATAGTAATTTAAATTTTTGTAATATAATTAATTTAATGACGTTATCGAACAATTTTTACGTATTGTTTTTTTATATTTTATATGTAGTAATGATTGAAATATATATAAAATTATTGAATTTTTATCATGTACCATCAGAGTACGTTTTATTAAACATGTTTTTTCGAATATACAACTGAGGCAGCAGTAGCCGACAGTCTACTGTAATATTCTTCTTTACCAACCGTAGATTAGCCGATAAAATCAAATAAATATTATAGTCCTGTAAATAAGATACTTTTTATATTCTAGAAAGAATCATAATAATAAGAATAGTATTATAAGAATAAATATCTGATTTATTTCGTTTAAATCTAAAAAATAATCCGCTTCAATATTTTATTTATTTATAGTATTAATTAAAAAGAAATTATTTTCAACACTTTACAGAAACGCTACGCAAAAGTTTATTTGTGACTTTTTATATGCATTATACATCTATGTATATACATATTACATTGCTAGAACATACTCGCAGGCAAGAGACAATGCGAATCATTAAAATTTGAAACGCTTAACCTTCATCCTTCTCAACGACTTATGCTATTGATTTTTATTAACGAACGATATTCTATATTTTAAATTTTCTACCAGGAAACCTTATAAAATTCGTAAACAAAATGAAAAAAACATAAAAAATGATCGATGGCACAGATATTTTAGCCAGTAATTTTCGCTGGTACTGTGAAGCAAGAGACAATATCATTTCCATTTCGTAAAGCGTAGTATACAATTAAATCGACCTGAAACAAAAAAAAAATAATTTTTTAATAAATTATTTATATTATTAATATAAGTATTTCGTATCTAAGATCTTAATTAATTATTTTTAATTTCATATCAATGCATTATCAAGCAAATTCCAAACTATAATGTGCTTTTTATAATTTAAGTCTCAATCGAATAAATTTAATAATATTAAAAAATATATATATATATTTTATCCATGCTCAAAAAAATTAGACCATTTGGACGAAAATTATCTTTTGCTGTGTGATGACCAACATTTACTTCTATATTTAAACTATGATAATTGAAAACATTAGTGTGCATACTATAACAGTTCAAAAACAAGTGTACGTACCTTCGGATATATGTTCAAAATAGGAAATTCAGTTTTGTAGACATACGTAGTACCTTTCTTCAGGGGACAACTGACTTTGTTGTTATTGGCATCATAAATATTATCGCATGCATTCATACCATCTACTCCTATGAAGGGCAAATCGATTCCAAGTAACGTAGCATGAACAGATGTAAGCAATTGCTCAGCATCTTTTTCAGGTACGAAAGTTTCTTCTATAGAAATTCGATTTTTCTTTTTCAAAATACATGGTGGTGTTTCACAGCCAGATATTTTCACCTGATTGGAATCCTCGTAAGGTTTATTTTCTAAAAATAACAAAAATTTTCAGAATAATTTTAAAGATATTTATTTTACATAAAAATGTATTTTTAACTGTTGTAAATATCTGGTAAGTTATAAAGTTCATTTGTATAGAGAAGTAAACACTTCGTAGAATTATAATACTCATCGATAATATTAAAAGAAACTATTAGTCACATGTAAACACAGAATCAAAGTAAATATACGTATTTAAATACTTGCCTTGAGACTTAAAAATTTTTTAATTTAAAATTCATATCTTTTATTAATTTTATTACCAAATAATTTCTTTGACATTAAATAAAAGCAGTATCCGTATTAATATATTTTACGAATTGTATATTAATTTAATATTACTCTCATTAATATGTGCATACATGCATTTTTAATAAGTAAAAGATAAAATAGAATTCTGATTCACGCTGCACGAAGCAGATATTCTTGCATTTTCTAGATCTACTTGTTATTTCAAGGATACTTCAAATTACTGCAATTATGTGAGCAAAAACTACATAGGAAAACATTTCCATCAACTAACTTCGAAGAATATTTTATAAAAAATGGAATATATTTAAACAGAAAAATAAATATTACTTTGTGACTATTAAGAATAATAAAAAAGCAGATATAACATTTTTTTATATTAAAAAATGATTTTTATTATGTTTTTCTCGTCAGTCTTTAATCTTAATTTTTTGTTTATTCTAAACGCAATTTTATTGATCTAAAAGTTGAATGATGACAAAATAAAAATTTCAATTTTATATCAATATTATAACATTTAACTATAATTAATTATTAATGCATATCGAAGCTAATAATAATTTTTGATTTTCTAACAATAAATTTTTAAACACCATATAAATAAATTTATTTTATTCTAAATATTGTGTTATTTTTTTCTTTTCGAAGAAACAAAAATAATAGATTCTCGACAATTAAATTTCTACTTAAAAAAAAAAAAAAATAATCGTAATGATTTCATATTGCATCTAGCAATAAGTACATCAAGAAAACATGTATATCTACAATAGAGGAGAAAATATAGAATTTCGAAAATGGTATAATCTTTGCAATCTTAACGGAAACACGATATGTTATATTGTGACTACAAGGCCGAACGAATTTATGCTTGTATATTATCTATGTGGAGATATAATTCTATTATAAATATTGTTATTACCATATTTGATGTTATTGAAATAAAATAATTTTATGTTTCAATGATATTTAACGACAAGAATATCATACAGAATAAAATTTTCAAAATAAATCAATTAAATATACATGTTAATATTGTTACGTCTTGTATCATAATAAAAAGTGTGATTTTTATTATGTTTTTGGTCAAGCTGTGAAGCCTTTTCCAGAGATTGACCTAAATAATTGTGAGTGTATTGGCAATAGTGAGACGCGGGTCTGGAAAATATTTGCCGTCAGATCCTTTATTTATAGTAATAAACTTTTCTTGGGTTTTATGACAATTGCCTACGACGAGAAAAATATCGAGCGTAAAAGATAGAAAAAAAACAACCTGAGACGTAACAATATCGACGAATATTTTTTACGAAAGAAATTCTTGGCAAATATCAGTTAAAGTACAAAAATTAATTTTTTTTTTAACGTACCGCCACAATGATTAACTTGCGTTCCAGATACCAGAATAACGACGACAGCCGCGAAAACGAACAAGGTTTCCCTCAGCATGTTTAGTGAAAGCTAAAAGTCTTCTTGGTAATTATCTTTGTATAAGAAAAGAAGATTAGTAAGGATGGATCTAATCAGGGCCAGGTCTGGCTGTTGACTGAGCGGAATACCGGTTCTACACACTGTGATACTGAAGCTTGTGCTTTACGAAGGCCATTATAAAGAAAGGTGAAACAACTTATTGCCAGTTGGTGGAAAGGTACTTTCTGGGGGCTTCCCTCTCCACTTACACACACACATACACACACACACACACACATTTGATCATATTTATTTTCTTTATCTTTTCTTTTATTCATGATATAAATATATTCTAAACGAAAAAAAAGGTCCAACGATTTTGACTCTATAAATATTAGTAATTTGGTCCCAAGTTCGTCAAAAAAAAAAAAAAAAACATTATAAATGAGTCAATAAATTTAACAAAAGAGAAATTTATATTATACAATTTTAAAATGATTATACGATGATGAAATAACTGGCCTTGAACGAAATTTATTTTTATGGATATACGTATTTTAAAATATTATTACTTTCATTTTTATTTTTACCAAGAAACAAAACAAATTACTTTTCTGCATTTTATTTCTGTCATTAATATTGAAGGAAGTAATTTGTTTGGCCGTTTCTTCCGTCGTCTTTGGTGGTCAACTTCCTGACAGTGTCTCTTGAATGTTTATTTCATTTTTGTCAATAGGAAAAGAAATACATAGTTATTTAATATTCTGGGCGTTGGTTTGAATAAGACATCGCATACGAGATACAAATCTCGAAGAAAACATATACTATAAAACATTGATGACCTTGACCTTGCGACGATGAGGAAGACCTTTCGATAACTATATTTTCTTACTACATACAATAGTACTCTATTATAACGTACTTTTTTTTATAACATCTCAATACTGTACATACATATTTTTTATTTACAATTATCTGTTTCAATTTTCATTCTTTATATTTTTCCTAGTAGAATACTAATTAGTATCAATATGTTTATTCAGATAAGAACTATCAATTGTATATTTTAATTATTAATTGATCGTAAAGATGCCATAATTGCCTTAGACGTAAGAGTTTTTTGTGAAGCGTTTAATAATAAGTTACGTTATTATAACATGGTTCATAAATTGCGAGAACCTTTGTAGAACGCTTTGTATTTTGTTACATTTTTATTTAACATATTTAAAAATCAAATTTCCTTAAAATAATGACATGTAAGAATAATGAACTATTGGTCTCATATAACACGGTTTCACACAAAATGGCGTTTTTTAGGAACCTATCTACCATGTTATAAGAGTGTTACCAGTATACAATTGCATTTTACAATTACTATCTAAAACATTTTAAATCAATTATTTACAATTGAATAAACTTTATTAGATTTATATAATTATTATATAAAAAATACAAATTGGTAAACGTGTATTTAATTTATCTATATTATATAATCCAAATTAAATGACTATTTGATGCTCTTGTAGTAATCTGTTTTATCGACAGTTTTATCTCTACAAAGTTAAATTTTGTAAGATAACTTACCGGCTAAGGTTAAAAGCTTTCTCTTATAAACACTAAGATGACGCTAAACATGTATTTAGTGCAATATTATTATTTTAAAATTTACTTTTAAAACAATAAATGAGGATATAGAAACAGACAAATTTAAAGAAAGAAATTTATTTCACAAATCTCTTTGTCGAGAAAAAATCATTATAAATACTTAATAGTCTTTTTACATATCCACTTTTTCAAATAATTATAATATCATAGTTTGAAAATAACATTTCTTTTGGTACAAATTTACAAGTGAGGAAATATAAGTATGTACTTCAAATAAATAAACACTATCGATAGCATTTCAAGTAGAATTTTAAAAATTAGATCAAGGATACACAAGGACCAATAGTTTCTTCTTGTTTCTCACTTCGGGTACTCGTAATCCTATTTATCAGCACACAGGTCACGCTTGATCTGTAATAAGTCCTCCCTAATCACTTAATAGAAAATTATTGTTCTTATACTAGAGATCATAGTTCTTCTTTAATAAATATTCAACTTCCATACTATAATACGTAAATCACATTTTTGATCTTTTATGTTCTATCACGCAATTTCAAAGTTTAAAGAATTGCAACATCAAATTTACATGTAGTCTCAATATTTTATATCGAAATCAAAATATTAATTACGCTGTATCATGAATAAAATCATAATTTTAATAATTTTTTATTTCTCAATATTTGATATCTCATTTACAATTTTAAAATAGAAATTTCTAATTTAGATTTCGACACACTGTTCTTCGTTCATCGAAAAATCATTAAGATGTTCGAATGAGCGAGTGTCATTTTCAAAAGTAGACAGCATGCATATAACTATTCTTTTCAGTTATTTCAAACGGGATGTTTTGGAATGTGACTGAAAATAGATCCATTTTAAATTCTACTTTCGTCCCTAAGGAATATTGGAAATGGTCAGGACGACAAAATAGAATCCTATTTAGTTGAGATGTAACGCGTTGCGATCACTAAAAGCATCACTCTTCGGTGTAAAACGTAGATTAGAAGTGACGGATTACAAGGTGAATGAAAAAATGCAAAGCAAAGAGACTATTATTGGTAAAAAATGTTTCTGTATGTCTAACTCTTTTTATTATTTATTTCGACTCAAAAACTTCCGGGACCCGAGAGTTGGTTCTGAACATATAGAGAAATGAATAAACATATCTAAGGGTATACCTGTTCCAGTTTTCCCAAATGTTTTCCCTATTCCACTTTTGTAATATCTTATAAACATAAATAAATTTGAAAATATCAGGAAAATCTATTAAAAGAAAACAATTATTATATTTTGTTAAGTTTAGTGATAGAGTATAACATAAAAAAGTGAGATTTAAGAAAGGTTTACTTGTTTGGAGAAACTATTATCCGCTTACGTGCCGATCATTAGACGTTCTCGAAAGTAATAGGATTTTCTTCGTATTTCGAACGATTCGCCGTTTGCAACGTGCGCTTGTCCGGCGTCTATTTTCGAATCCACTATATTTATAGCTAACCTTACCTTTACTGGCTCGATCTACGCTACCTCTTTCACGTAAATGGTATTGCGAGGATTCTGCTTCTACCTTGGCGCAAACTGCTTTAGTTCCAAGATATCACCGATATTTCTCATCGAGGATAGAAGCAGAAAGATCGTACTGATACCAGTAAATACATACTACACGTTTCTTCAGACATTTCAAACATCTACCAAGTGTTTCCAACGAATAAATCTTCCTTTATTTCAAAGGAAGAACAAAAATGTTCTACGTTTCAATTATACGTTAACAGAAACAACATTGTATTAACCCAGTATGTTAAAAGCAAAAAAGAAAAAATAACATGACTATGAAAATAATTACAACACACATACACGTCGAAGGATATATTTTAAATGTTATAATAATAATCTGAAAAAATAAGCTTCCTCATAATCACACCAAGAGTAGTGTGCCACTCCTTGTAAGTAGCTTTCATGGGTATCTTTACCGTAGCAATAAGAGCTCCAACGCAAAGAAGGAAAACCAACGTGACGAGGATAAGCTAATGTTCTCTTTCGAACAACGATTGGATTCTTATTACGGTCGATGAACGATGGACGTCTTTCTTCAAGGATTTATTTATCTTTTATATTTTTTTTTATGATTACTAATATACAAGGATTAGATAAAGTAATTTAAAATTCGATTATATATATTTATTTTTGTTAAATATCGCATATCGTACGAATGAAAAAAGTTTTTCGAATAGAATATTAGGAAGCAAAACTAAAATACCGTTGCAATATATTCAAATTTGTTATAGATTTTATTTAATATAAACTACGATTGCAACGGTCAGCCATTGAGTTCTTGGGATAATCTTGGAAAAGAGGGATAAATAACCAGACTAGCGGTAGACCGATTCGTTTAGTCGTTTATATTTGGATTCTGATCTCTTTTACCAACACTGCAACCCTGTGTAATTCCTACGGATGCATTCTTCATCGGTTATGTGTCATTTCTCTATTCGCATATTCTCTCTCTTATCCACACCTTTCTATTTCTAAAGTAAAACAAATGTTAAGTATAATTAGATTCTTTTATTGCTAACGCTTGTACCTTTTCTATCGATTGTTTCTTGCTTAGAAAAAAAATGCTTTGAATTACCATTCAAAGATCTTTCAATGTTTCATTAGAAATGAACACATGTCAACATGCCGGATACTATAATGCGTTAGATCATTAACCCATTAGTTGTCACGACCCCCATTTGGGAATTTTGTAATTTTATGTACATCACTCGCGGTTACAAGTGGACTGTATGGAAAAATAGCAGAAATAATAGCTATTTTTGTATGTATAAGATGACGCAAATAATAAAAGAAATAGTTTCTTATTAATTTTCTTTCATGCAACCTGCCACAATCTCTATTTAGGACTTTTTCAAAAATATAAATATTTTCAAAATAAAACTTTCAACGAGTGCTTAGAATATTTTTAATGAAATTTAATAGTGCGTTAATTATTCGATAGTATTTCAATATTGTTTTTGATCAGAGTTATTATTAGTAGTATTCTCTCATTTTAGTTAATAATAGTTTGGAATTTTTTCTAAACTATATGAAAAAATATTAGACTATTTCTAATGAAATTCTAATTGAATTAAATACCCTGAAGTATATCAATATTATTTTATAACAGTAATCATCTTTAAGATATTTCTAACTATATATTTCTTTCTTCGATTCTGAAGACCAAAGTCAGTATATATGAAAAAGAATAAACGTTAAGTTACTTATTCTCAAGAGATAAAGAAATAGAAAATGAGGGCAGAAGAAAGAAAGAAAGTGTGTGTATGAGAGAGAGAGAGAGAGAGAGAGAGAGAGAGAGAGAGAGAGAGAGAGAAAGAGAACTTTGCTCCGATCGAGTTCCCATGACAAGAAGGTCAGGTTCGCGCCACGTGATTCTATTTTGACTTGTACTCGTCAGCGTCCAACAGAAAGTTGTCGAAGAAAAACGAATAGAATGAGTGAGAAAAAGGGAGAAACTAGGACGACGAAGGTCGAGTTCCCATGGGATCTCACCAAAGAAATCTTCTTAAAACGTCT